TTTTGGCTACATTTTTAGGACAAAAACTTGCATGTTATGTTGTTATTCCCAGTATAATACAGGACCCCTGTGAGCCTCTTGACTCAAGTTTATCCAGTGGGTATTGCAGTTCTGGTGAGTATTGCAGTCGGTGCACAAACAACAGTGGTTTCACAAGAAGGTTGCAATGTAGACTTGAGAAAAAGGAAGACAACTAGTTGAGCCATATAGAGGCAGGAAGAATCATGATGTCATCAAAACAGTCTCCAGCAACACTTCTTTCCCCTCAAGTAATCTGAGAACTAAGAAGCCCAGAGTAAGCCTCAGTTTCAGCAGTTTTTCAGTGACATCCACGCTGCTGAGAAGTGCTTTAAGTTTCCCTCAGGTTTTGCAATGTTGCACTGGGACGGGTCAAGAGCTCAGAGAATGGCCGGGAGCAAGACCTCAGAAAACTGACTTGCATGACATACGAAAAACTGTATACGAGTGGCTGGTGGCAAAAACTCAGTCCCTGATGCCAGGAATATGCCTTGCTATAAAGATATTGATCCTTGGGTCTTTACAGAGAAATGCGGAGCTGGCGTTTAGGATAGTAGAATGGCTACGAGTGGCTCTCCAGCACCCCAGGGGCTGCTGTGCACAGCTCAGTGCACGTCTGGGCACACAGCATCTGCCTGGGGAAGTCCCTGCTCCGGGGAACCCCTGCGCGGAGCCACCAGAGCGTGTCCCAGCCGGGCTGCTCGCCGGCCCTGTGCCTGGCCTGCTCAGAGCAGCAACGGGCAGCAGCGCCTCCTGCGCCGCCAGCGGCCACCACAGAGAGCCCCACTTTGGGCTAGGCCTGAAGACAACAGAGCGAAAGCAGAACCCAAACCCTGAGGAGGATTCTAGGAGCCTGTTGACAGCCTCACACGTCAGCTTTCCTCCCACCTCTTTGCTGGGTGGCTGGGGCCATGATTTTCACTTGTTACTTCTGTAAATCTCCAGCCCCAAGGGGATCGGTTAGGGTTGTTGTTAGCCATTTCTGCCACTTCCTTTCAGCTAGCAAGCTCTTCTGTGGCCTCCCCACTCATGGGCTTCTTTTCTAAATTTAGGTGCCTACAGGTAATATGGATATTTTAGGCATTTGGGGACTTCATTTAACTGAATCAATACAGCATCACTCTCAAAACTCCTTGCAGAGCATGTGTGAATTACTAGCAGCCTTCACTAGTCACACGGTTCACATGTGTGAATTAGTAACACCCTTCACTGGTTGGGTGGGCTGCAGCGCTATCCCAACAGCTGGAACAGGAAAGCGTCTAAGCCAATAGCCTAGGCTGGTTTTACCAGAGCATGTATCCCTTCTCCATTAAATATATATGTATAAACACTTAAACAATGAGCACTAAATCTTCCTTACTTGGAAGATGCTTGCAAAAATGTTTTTCTTTGTTTACACACAGAAATCGAACACTTCCTTGCCCCTTGACACTAAGCGTTTAATACTCTGGACTGTATCAAGATATTCCAGTGATAGGAGAAATGAAATACGTGTTAGGTAGAGGCTAAACCAGGCACGAAGAACTACTCAGTGCTACAGAGTTAAGACCGCTTTCCTTCCACGGTATTTGAAGGCAGTAGGATTTCGGCATACAGGGAAGAAAGTTAAAGTGAAACAATGCGGACAAGCAGAGAGAGTAAAGCAAGTGAAAATATCCCAATTTTCTACTGATTTGTTCAACAAGTTGCTGCAAATATTTTTCTCCCTGTGCTATTTATGGGGTTTTCTTCTTCTAAATGTTACCATAGTCACTGTGGTGTAGCATTAATTTGTTTATATAACCCCTGCGTTGCACATACAGACCCAGATGTTATTTCAGAAACACTATACTTGGGGAAGATTTTCTATAACCTGCACATTAAAACTGCACGGAACAGTGATTTTTACCATAACATTAACAAGGCCTCCTTCAGAGAAGGGCAGCAACGCTAACTTCCCTACCATGAAGAGACGGTTGTTCAGCCTCACTGATGCTACGCTCGGATCCTGCTCAATTTGCAAACAAACTTAAGCCCTGTAATGGGCTTGTTTTAACTGAATGTTCCATCTGTTATCTTCATAGCACACAAGAGAAAAAGGAACTGATGGGCTTGATTTAATATCAGATGCAATTCAAATAAGCCGAAGAGATCAGGGGTTCCAGTGTATGGAAGAAACTGTAAGACTTTTTGTTTAGACTATTAACTCGTGCACAGAAAATTCTGCATTTTTTCTGCCTCTTTTACAGATAAACATCTGACGTGGACCAAATCTCTATGAATATTTATTTTCCGGTAAGACTTGTTTGTATCCTAACATTATTATTTTTGGATACTATATGCAAAACACTACTCGAGCCTCAATGGGGTATTAGAAATCTGAGTGTGAGACAATCAGAACTTTGCGTCTCAACATAAGTCACTTTTCTTTCTGCAGTTTTAAAGAGAAAAATATTTAGAGAATGCCTTACGCTAAATGAAGCTGTTCTGAAATGTTTGAATGAATGTTTGCTGGTTGAAATCATTGATAGCAATGAAGTAGAAACACTTAGATGTGTTTGGAACTTAACAGATTGACTGATTCCCCTGTGAAGAATCAGTGAAGTGTCACCTGCTCTGCCCATGTGAGAAGCCGACAGCAAACGCTCACCACAACGCAGCAGCATAGCCAGAGCTGTAAGAAAAAATAATAATAATAAAAGAATAAAACAGACCAAAAAAACAGCCCCTTTTTACTAGTTAGTTACATAAAGGATCAGACATGAGTAACATTCTTCCGGACAGTTTTGGTTCTTAATGTGTTTGCATGGTACAGGGACCTTTGATAAATCTGTCCTTTTTACCACTAAGTTTGCTCTAATGGAAGTAAACCTTTCTGGAACTATAATTGTGTTACGTTATATTCTTTATGCTACCTTCCATCTTCCACACTGTGAATATAGGGCACTGAACAGAAACTAACTACTTACTGAAAATGTAAATTCACTCATGTTTTTCTAGAGTTTTACCTTCTAAGAGTAGAATGAGGAAGTCCTAAAAATGATCCTAAAGCTACTCCTTATTTTTAGGGAGAAAAAAGAGAAAAAAAAAAAGGAAAAAAAAAAAAAAAGGACAGAAAAGTAGTCCTCCTGTAAGCAGTCAGATTTTAGTATATACATATTTAGGACACACAACAAATATATTCATTTGGCTTCAGGACCATTTTTGTTTAGTTTGTAGGATGAAAATGGAATATTGTTACAACTACACGCTATAACTCTGGTAGGCTTAAGACGTCTAGTATTAGCAGGTACGCTTGGCAATTCCCTCCTACTAGTAGCAAGGGGATATCTGTAAAACCTACAGATTTTTCAGGAGAAGGAAGGAGGAAGGAGAGAGTCTTCTCTTGGCATCCCTTAGAAACTAAAGCTGAAGAGCAGATTTTTTTTCCAGCTTCCTTAGGAATTGACATAGAGGTTGGTGCTATCACAACAGCTCTTGCTCTGCAGAACAGCAGCAGAACACGGTGACACAGATTAAACAAAGCAAACATTATCTTCAGACTAATCTAAAATACCCTGCATACAGCATGGATGAAGTACTCCTCTCTGTATTGACTCAGCAGTTGTCTGACCAGTAGCAGACAGTAAAGTTTACAGCAAAATTACATTCCGGGCATAATTTTTGCTCTTTGACCTTGCAATGAGTCAAGCTATATATATATATTAAATATATATATGTTATATATATATGTTATATATATGTTTTAACATTATACAACATTATAAAACATAACAAGAAAAACTAACATCTCTTAAAAGTGATTTGAAGACTCGGATTTCCTTCCTTATTGGGGAGAAAAATTCCTTCGGTTCAGTTATTTTATAGGGTTTGCTTGGTCAGTACAATTCTGGTCACACAGCTCAGTCTTTTCTAGCTTCCACATCAGGCTTTATATCCCTGCACTCCTGCCTCAGAAACAGGCTCGAAACCGGTCCCAGGTCTCACTCCAGGCCTATTCCAACGCGAGGCATCGCCAGGCCCTGCCTGAAGGGCACCAGGTACCTGACCCATCCTAGCTCCACACCAGGGTTTCCTGATGGAAGCAAACGTGCAGGAGCTTCGCCTTGGAGACTCTTCTTCCATTGTGCAGTCTGGATTTCCCTTGGATGCAGATATCCAACAGCTCCCACAGGGTCTGGGGAGACCCCAGTGCCGCAGCACGCGGCAGGCAGGGCCGCGGCCCGGCGCGTAGCATCGGCCTCTCATCCTGCAGCTGCTGCCTGCGATGGGGGAGCCAAGGCGTCACCAAGGGAGGACACAGGTCCTGGAGGCAGGTGTGGTGCACAGGAAACCCGGGGGGCAGAAAAGCTCCTCAAAGCCTCTTGGTAACAAAGAGGATGGGCAGGGAGAGGAGAAAAAAAAAAAAAAAAAAAAGAGAGAAAAACAGGGTTCTGCACTGCTGCGAGCTTTGTACTTGTGCCACACACCTAGTTCTGCCCCTCAGCTGCAACAAGCTGACGAAGTCACTATAATCAGTCTGTAGCTCCTCATGTTATAAAGAAAAACTGAGAAGGTTTCCAAGTGAGCAGAGAGGGTAACACAAAGCTCTACCTTGTGGTATATCTGAGCATCCTATATCCTATATGGACATTTTTGTTCTTAAGCATTAACCATAATTCTTGACACTCTGACAATTCCAGATTAGTCTTTTTGACACTTTGACTATTCCAAATGGAATACTGGAGTAGCACATCTGAGAGTTATAAAGAAGTCTTGAACTCCATTCAATTAGAGGAAATTGAACTTAAAAGGCTGCATTCTATGAAGGTTTTTTCCTATATTCATAAAAAATGTAGTTTTAGTATTATCAAAATTATTATAAAGATTTATTGACAGTAGCAATAAACAAATACTTTTTCAGAACAAAAATTACACCAGAAAACAGGCTCAAGTAATTTTTGACAAGCTAGCTGTAAAAATGCTTATACAAACAGGAAATCACAAAGGTCATGTTTAGAAATTCAAGAGACATCATGTCTTATTAGATCACCAAAATAAGCAGTTATTGTCTTCAGTTTGTTATTGAGAAAATTCTGTTCTATTTCAACTTTCCCTCCTGGCCCTGCTAAGGAAGCAACCTAAAAAAGAAAGAATGAAAAGCAGTCAATGTACATGAAAAAAGTAAAGCAAAACTTTCATTCATCTAAAACACTGCCTAAAGCCCATCTCTGCTGTATTAATACTGGTGATGGTATTTCTTGTCATCTAATACCTCTAGTTTTTAATTCATGTCATTCTCTGCTTACAGAAGTGGTTAGTGGTTTTGTCACTCAGTTTCCCCACCCTCCAAGACATGAAAGTAACAGGACTTCAGTAACAAGATAAATCGCCACTGCTCAAAAGCTAGAGCACTCTGTCACCCCTGGGTTTACTGCAGAGGTGCTTTGGGAAACCTTGCTGCTTGCCTTCAACAGCAAAGAGCAAGCTGCAAATTGTGCCAGGAAAGTGTCAAAAGTGCAAAGTTTTTTGTTTTATTTTTGTAGGGAGGGAGCAAAGGACATGTGAAAATGAGACTTAAAGCCAGGAAGTAAGGGTTGCACCAAAAAAGGCTGCGCAAAAAAAAACAAAAACAAAAACAAAAAACCACACAGTATAAAGGTCCCACAAATCAGTTGAAGGATTTTTGTTGCCGTGGTTGGTGGGTGCATTTGAACCTCAAACTGTGCTCAGGTAAAACCACTGGCAGCGGCCAGGACTGGGGAGCGGGGCAGGCAGCGAGAGCTGGGCCGCATGTGAGGGCCGGCGGCCCCAGCGGGGCCCAGGCGCAACCGAGGGCGCCACTTTCCCTCCCGCTCCGGCCTGCGGGATCGGGTGCGTGTTGGGAAGAGCCTCTGTTCCACATGCCAAGTGGATGCAAATCGTTTCTGTGCAGCCAAAACCTGATCAGGGTCCACAAACCTGCAGCAAATTTTAAATGATCCTCAAACACGCGAGTCCCCGGTACAGCAAGCTGTATTTGCAGTTTTAGCTGGTATCACTAACACTTGTCAACTCCTCTGAGACTCTGCAGGTTTTAAATAAATATATTGAACTTCCTCTATTTTACTGTAAGCTAAAGAGACCTGCGTACCACTGAGAGGAAATGACAGATTAATCCATATTGTACTTTGAACCTCTACTGACATGCCCAGAAAATTACCACACTTATCTGAAACAGGTGTTTACTTTTTCTTTTAATATTTGCAGACAAAAACAGGCAGGAGCAGCCTCCTCATCCTTCAGTTTAATGCTAATAAGGAAAAAATCTCTATGTTCTTGTCAAAAAGGAACCTGCCACTTAAGTAAAAAAGCAGAAGCTGGCTGGTTTATAAATAGCACAGGAATCTGAAACTGGCAAGGGATCAGGAATGTTAATTTCATGACTTATCTTTTCTTACTTGAAATTCTAAAAGCCATTAACTTGGCAGAGGAATTTACACTTTTTAAGAAAGAGACATTAATTTTGTACCTTTTATTACAAATAAAAGATGGAATGACCATTTCAAAAAACCTTTAAATGCTTTTATTTTAAAAACTATATTTAAGTCTAAAATATTAATTGGATTTGTCAATTTAGTAATACTGAAAATACTTTGTAGGGGTTCTGTATGCCTGAATTTCAGGGCACAATTTTTAGCACTAAAAGCGTGTCTAAGCAAAACTAATGCATTCATATTAAATAACTATTTACTAAACCTTCACTTTGCAGACCAAATACAGGAACAACTGCTATGCTGCTCCTTCTTCTAAGACATGGTATTTAGTGAAGGACAGCTGGGAAGTCCCATGCGTTATATCTTTTTAAGGCTTTTTGGAGTTTAAAGGCTCAAAGTATTAAACGCAGGATAATGAAGACTAATTGAAAATGACTACTAAAAATATCTGAAAACCTAAATGTGACAAGTTCTAATGAGTACATAGGCATAAATTTCATAGGGAAATTAAGTTTCAGTACAAAAACCTCCAGAATGCCATGAACTATATAGCTTTCCTCTTCAAATCCTATTAGCTCAATACTAATTTCTCAGCTTCTCCTATTAACGGGAGGTCCAAACAAATAAGCTGGGCTCACTAAGAAGGTGCTCGTCACTCAAGTGGAACAGCCGACATTCAGAGGAAAAAATTGCAAATACTTTGCAGCAGGCTTCACTCCTAAGTTACTGGAGGTTGCAAATTTAATTATGCACAAGTTGCCAGCCTGAAAGTTTTCCTCAGAGAGTTCAATGAACCCTGACAGCTTAACGAGGCAAAAACTGCTGTACAAAAAACCCTTATATATTAAATTGGTGGAGGGACACCGTCTAAAAATAACAAGCAGATTTTTTTGACAGTGTTTTGAATAAACAAAGGTGCTCATCTATTTTTAGAAATATCCACATATAACTCCCATTCTTAAAGTGAATTACAAGGAAGAGTATGGAAAGACTTCTGAAGTTACTAAAAAAATTGAACTGGACTAATCCAAAATTTTCCCTGGTTCCTTCCCGTGCTGATCTTCACCTGTGCAGACACTCACCAGACTGCTCTGTTAAAACACACAGAATCCCTTGGCTGGGAGTCCCTCCCCTAGGGTGCCAGGGAACCAGAAGTGCAAAACCTCCCTGGCCACCTCCTCACCCTGTCCAAAAACCTGTATGCAGGTCCCCACCGCCACCAACTCGCCCTTCTTGTTCCATTCAGTAATTCTGAACTTTCCACACTCCTCCCTGTGGAGAGGGAAAGGAAGTAACTTCAGTTAAGAGCTCTGACGCCCCTCACCTGATGCTCATTTCCTAAATGCAAGGACTATTAATAGAATTATTCTACAGCTACGGAAACAGTCACACAACACTAAGAATCCAAACAACAAGTCTGATACTAAGTTTAGTAAACGTCATCAGAAAAGAAACATGAAAAGGCAAAGGAGCATGGAAGATTATTTCAGAAGCACAAGTGTCTGAGGGCGTAAATTTACTTTATAATGTTCAGTTATACTGTTGAACAGAATTCTCTTGATGATGCCAGTCTGTCCCTTCAAAGTTTCCTGGGCTACAGGAAATAAACTTTTTGTCTAATTAACAATACAATAACAGTAATAACAGTAATAACAACAACACAATAACAGTAACTCATAGAACTGTAACTCATGTCACTTTAGCCAATACCACTAAAACCAGGAAAAAAAGAAAAAAGAAAGAAAAAAGGAAAAAAAAAACCCCAAAACCTCAAGTTTAGGGAAAAACCCTCAATTCGTGTTGTTTGGACTCAACACGGTAGAACTAGGGCAGTCATGCTTGGGCAGTATTTTTGCCAGCCCACACTCTGGTGAATAAAGCCGTGCTACACAGCTGCATTAGCTCTGACAGGCTAGAATATCTTTAAAGCTTGAGGTGGGCAAGCTAAATTTCTGCATTCGAGTACTATGAGTTTTGGGAAGATTTAAAACCAGAAGTGTTACTCTGACAATGTATAGGATGGTGGTGCAGGGGTTATGTTATCTTTCTCTTTGCTCAAAGATGGAAAATGCCCGCAAGTGAGATGGGCTGGTTAAAAGAGGAAATTAACACGACAGCTGCAGCTTTCTGCTGCAGCTACAAGTTTATGTTCTGCTAAGAAAACATCAACCTTCAAAATACATCTACCCTTTACCTGTCAACTCCTGTAATACTCGAGCATTTTACAAGCAAAGTCCAGTTAATTTAAGATTAGCTCCTGGGGTCTTCCTGCTTTGCTCGCCTTTACATTCATTCAGGAATAAACACAACATTGCTTAGAAGGCTGCATTTCGCTGGGTCATCAGTCGCAAATCGCACCCAAAAATCACAGCTAAAGGGAAGGATCCAGAAGTACCGTAACACATCAACCTTCTATCACTTATATATTATTATATAGCACTACTATAATCTATTTCTTGATTAATTTTTTTTCCATGCATAATTTTGTTAAATTGTCTATCTGGCATGGTTTTCTGCAGCTGCAGTAATACAAGTGGAAAAAAAAACAAACAAACAAGAACTCCAAATAAACAAAAGCTCAAATTTTGCCTATCTTTACACTCTTCATTGATCAGTCATTTGTTATAAATGGAATTTCAAAAAGAAACACTCACTTTTTACATCTCGGAGCTAGAGTTTCAGAGCAAGGCTTTTGTTTCTAACTGCCTTCTCTCAAAACTATTATGATAAATGGGAACAAAAGCACTTGTTCTATATGTATTCTTATGACTATCAGGCTAAAAAGCAGACTAGGCAAAGTAATTACGGGGAAAGCCAATTATTTGAAGCATTGGACGACAAACAAAGGATATTGTATTTCTTATGGCAAATTTCGGAACACAAAACAGAGCCATGAGCCCAACATTAGAAAAGCAAAATTTCTACCAAGGACGAAGTACATTCTACTAAATTTTAAACAACTATCACGACAAGGAAAGTCCCCAAAACCTACCCAATTTGACCACTTGCCAAATGTGCAAATAGTAACTGTGTACACAAAGCTAAAAATACAGAAGCAGGAAGAAGTCTGGAAAAGTAACAGGTTTAAAAAGCATTAACTGTACACAAAAGCTAACTAAAATTTTTGTCATCTCTCTAAGCTGCTTCAGTTTTTAAAACCAGATGTCTTGAGTGAATAAAATTCAGCCTGGAAGGCTTTCCTAGCCAGAACCGTTTTACGTATCTAGGCAAAACAAACAGGACAATTGATAAGGCAGCCTGTGACTTACTAGTGGCTGACTAAAAGCAAATCACTTAATTTGAGAAATGTTTACAGTTTGCATTACTTTCTTGGTTTATGTAGTTCTACTCCATCAGTAGAAATCATGTGGGAGAATACACAGAATCACAGAGCAGTTGAGGTTGGGAGGGGCCATAAACAGTATTAGCAGGGTTGCAAACCCCACGCCAGCCTGTGAACAACCTGCTGGTGCCGCAGCGTCCTCCCTCGCAGAGCCCAGGTCACCCCGTGGAGCCGCAGTGACACGCGGCACACGGCAGCGTTCGCCCCGCGCCGTCCTAGCAGGGTTGCAAACCCCACACTCCATCAGTAGAAATCATGTGGGAGAATACACAGAATCACAGAGCAGTTGAGGTTGGGAGGGGCCATAAACAGTATTAGCGGGGTTGCAACCCCCATGCCAGCCTGTGAACAACCTGCTGGTGCCGCAGCGTCCTCCCTCGCAGAGCCCAGGTCACTCCATGGGGCCGCAGTGACACGCGGCACACGGCAGCGTTCGCCCCGCGCCGTCGTAGCGGCGCCGCTGCTGCGCCCGCGGTAACAGAGCCCATCAGAGCCGCCTCTGCGAGGCCACGTGCTGCAAAAGCTGCATCAGCGCCTCTCTTCTAGCCACTTTCAAAGGCAGTTTTGAAGTGGGCTCTTTCATCCCTCAGAGCGATGTGGTTGTGGAAAATGTGGATTGAAGTGCTACAGTCTTATCTTTGAAAAGAAAAAAACCCACACCCCCTGCCCCTAGCCTTTACTCAGCCTTAAAGGATAGAACAAGACTTTTCTCAGCACTGGCTTAAGCTAAAACCCCTGAGGGTTTCTCTGAAATGGTAAGCACAGGAGAAAGCTCTTCCTGCAGATACCGAAGTACCTAATATCTGCATACACATAAACACTTCTCAGCCTGAAAGCATTGGGCCTGTCATGGTCTTCCATGCGGGATTTCAAGCACAAGTGTCTTTCACCTGCCAGCATTACACAAGCTACAACTCATGTGCGCAGCAATGACCACCTAACAGTTCTCCCAGCAGTGAAAACTGTGTTAACAATTTACTGCAGTTTTAGGAAGTAAAAGGTTAATGAAGAAGTAATACTTTAAGATGATTAAAAGAAAGCAGAATATTATTCTTTGAAACGAAGAGGAAATTTTGCAAAAGATTTAGTAGCAAATCTAACAGGAAAAGGCATTCTTTTCAATTAAAAAAAACAGGAATAATATTAACATCACATTATGAAACAGGAAAAAAAAACAAAAGGGCTCCATCTCTAATAAAAAATATATATTAAGCAACATCAGTTTAAATTAACATCATTAATTGTCATCAGTAAGTTTTCAACTATCAAAGTTTTTCTTAAGGTTCTGCTAGACTTCACGTTACTAGCAAAGATTTGCCCATTTAAATCAGAATTACATTTGACACTTTGATCCCAAATTATTTTCTACTGCTAAGGAATTCCAAGTAGTGTTGTGGTTTTTTTTTTTTTTTTTTTTAAACATACCATTGGCAGGCAAACACACCATTGGCAGCTCTCCCCAGAACTACCTTTTTCTTTTTAAAGAATGTGAAAAAGATTAAAAATAACTCATGTGTAAAGACATGGCAAAGGGATTGCTATTAGCAAGGATGTCACACATAGTGAAGCATTAATGCACCTCATAACAAAACTTTGTATTCTTACATATCTATATAATGGTTCCTGAAGATTTGTTAACTGGAAAGAATGCTTTATAAAAGAATGATTTGACCTAAAACTAGACCTCTATACTACAAGTTCTGGACAAGTATAGGAGCATGAGCAAAGCGATTCAACGCAATCAAGGGAAACGTTTCAGATTTCTTGTAAATGCATCAGCCACATTTCTCCTGGCTTGCTGCTCCCTCTCGAGGCAGGAATAAGAAAGTTTTTTCCTCTTCTTGACCTCAGAGAATTTCAGTGCAAGTAAAGGATTATCTTCTCCCTACAAGACTAGCTCTATACTAATAAAAATAACAAAATTGTAATAGAAATCGTGTGGAACAGTATTGTTGATCTTGCCAATGATAAAGCAATGCACAGCATCCTCAGAACCACCGAGGTCAAGATTAGCTACTACCTGCTTTCACATTAGTGTTTTCCAACATTCCCTGTTCCACATTAGCTATCCAACTGTAGAAGTAAGCATGTTTATTCCACTAGATTTGCACCACCATAACTAAAGGCTAGATAATATTTTTACTATAAGGTTGCTTCTAATTGCTGGGCATTTATTTCTATTTGGGCTCGATCGGTTGAGCTTGATTCTATTGAGCTTTACTGGTTGGACAAGTGAGCTGACACTGATACACTAGCTGGTACAGTCAGTGTAAATGCCTTCCTGGAGGTTTGCAATGACACTAAAACAGCTTTTAAATCAATTTTAATTGATAAAACATATCTTGCTTGCAGAGCCAAAGCCAGCTAGTGAGGCTAGGCAAAATACTTAAATCTGATCCATTGCCACCTTATAAGTGTATTAGGCTGCCTAGTCCTGAAGGCTAGGGAATTGCAGCTAAATTCTCTCTGACTTGCAGCTCAGCGTGAAGTCAAACTGTGGATACACATCCAAGATTATTCAGAGCACACCAACAACATCCAGACAAATGGCCTGGGATCCGGGCGAAGCAAAAGACTCAGCTCCCAACCACATAGAGGTGCTGAGCTGTTCAGCACCACTAAGACCAAGGTATTCCTGGACATTTGCAGAATTGCAGACTCTTGAGGGGAGCTAGAAGATTTCAGCAACACACCAGAGGAGAGGAAGTATTTGTAAAAATCGGCACAGGACAGATGACTGCACTCTTGGATGCTTTGGTGGGAACAGAGGTGAAATTCAGATGCCTTTGTCCACGTGTAGATCTAGCACCAAGTGCTCATGAGCAGAACAAAAGCCTGGTAAGCTTTTGGGGGAATAAAATGCTTGATAAAATGCAGTGGTTAGCAGTCAAAACTAGACAAACTCTGCCTAAAGATAAGGTTCCTATTCAGAGATTCATAAACTATTTTGACTTTTTACCAGCTTAAAATATAAAATGCAGCCAAATAGTCACCTGCTGAGCAAAAGGCACTGTGTACAGAGTGTGTGCACACTGCACCATACATAAGTCATGTGAATTTTAGCCTGTTTTTCAAGTCAACTGTCTGGCACAGTCTGTTCTGCAGAACAGATGTGGCCTGAGACCTCATCTGCTGTAGGTAAGATAGAGCTTTTGGAAAAGCAGGAAATAATTTGGGGAACTTCTATGGCCTCCATATATCAGGTGATCAGAATATCTCACTTCTCCCTTCTGTGCTTAAAATCTAAAAAACATAATTAACATAGAAAATATACAGAGGAAACTAAACCAGACACTCAGGGAAGTGCTAAAGTCATATAATTACTTTCAAAAAAATATTTGACTGGAATATTTCTGTCAGTACACAAATGACTAAATTTAACATTCTGCTTCAATAAGCTTAGCAACCAAGCAGGTAAATTTTTTTTAAAACAAAGATTTCTAATAAAAAAACATACACTAGTGAAACCAATTGTGTTTATGAAGTCAGTGATAAACTAACTCATGTGACCACTTCAACACAAGCAGTTCATATGTAACCACATATCTGTGTGGACAGCATCAATCCCACTTCTAAAAGCAAGACATTTGTCTCTTGAGAACCTACTGATCTACCTATCAAAATAGTATTTCAGACTATACAGTGATTACCTGCAGCTTCTCCATAAACTGAAAGCCATGAAGATTTAGAATGCTGCACCTTACCATAATGAGCTAGTTAAAATAAATTATTTCTATTTATCAATAGTATGTCTGTCCAATTCACACAGAAATATACTGGCTTTGGACCTTCTATACTTGAAGTTCATGCTCTGTGAAGGGACAATATCAAAATCATGGAAATAATTCACTACTCTTACTTATCGTGTCAGAAGTATTGAAACCAAGCTTTAAGAGGAATATACCCAGTTCAGTCTAATTTGGGCCAATACCTGCGTTTTGAACCAGCCGAGCTTTTTATAAGTCATTAGCAAGCAACCCACCTGGTCGATGTCTGCGTTCCGAGGCAGGAAATACACAATGTTGTTCGTGATCATCTTGGAGAGCCTGAAAATTTCAAATGTAGAAACCAGTAAAGGAAAAAAACACAAAAACAAAGGCGAGGGAGAAGTTGTTTTAAATCCACACATTTTGAAAGCACGCCTCAAATTCAGCAACATTTAAGCAAATAAATTTGTAGCTAGACTTTTTCGTGTGCAAGTCATACCATTCCACAGCATAGGAATTTATATTGTCCAAACAACAGAAAGTCTCTTTGACCACTATTGCCTCGTAAAACTAGAAAAGCAACTACACTATAACTCATTTTGCTATATACTATAGACCTACTATACTACATAAACAGCACTTTATATTTGAAAATAACATACTAACACCGCCACTGAATGAGAGCTGACCAACACTGTAAATAAATCACTTGTATTTTATGCATTGAGTGAAAGGATTAGTATTTTGTCTACATTTTCCTGTGCTTTCCCAAGTCACAGGCAAGTGCTGTAATTTAAATAGTCTGAAGAAACTATTTTAAATAAAATGTGCCCTTCATTAATTGAGTAAAAATGGAATTAATTGCAAATTCATAGCTCATGTAACTTTGTTGCCTATAGATACACACACCATGTGTCTACCTGATGACATCAGTATATTTTCATAAAACATAAAGGAGTTAAAGTATTCATGCATGTGATGTCCTTAGGTTATTAGAAGTCTTCAAGAGGTTTCCCCCCCCGCCATTTATGAATAACTGACACAGTTTTTAAAGCATAGCTTTTTCCTTTTTCCTTAAGGAAATCAACTTCATATAGCTGAGGTCTTGCAGGGAAGTGGGGGCTAAACAAATGAGACACATCTGCAATTTCAAGTGCAGTTAATAGCACTGCAAGTCAGCCTGTTGGAGAGACAGAGGGAAAACTCTCTGTAAACGACTGGGAATTGTGGCTACAGACACACACAAATCAAAGGATATCCATCGGGACAAATCATAGTTTGAATATCAAAGACTTCAGCAGTGGCATAGTCGGGCCCTCCCCACGGAGGGCTCAGAAACACGACATCTGCTTTGAGCTGGGCAGCCAGCACCATGAAGTCCCCACAGATGAACTCGATGTGCTCTGCCACACCATACACTTGGGCGTTGTTCCGTGCAAGGGTGAGTTTCTCAGGATCGATATCAATGGCGATCACTGCAAATCAAGGTGAGAGGAAACACAAGCTATCAAATTGTCAGACGGGCGCTACCCAATTGCCAAAATAAATTATCAAAATAAAGATGTTCTTGTGTAGCAACCAGATACAGATCACACTGATGATGTGCTTTTAGGTTTGTAGTTTCAACATTTACAAGTCTGTTTCATCACGCGGCAATGGGGATTATTCCAGTTTTGCAATAGAAATCAAGGCATGCTTCCTCAGAGGGGAACGAGCTCCCCCAACTCTGCAGCAGGTTTCACAAACACTGCCAAACCACTGCACTTACAAAACAGCAAGGGGAATAACCGAGTCAAGTCTGGGAGACACGGTTGCTGTTACAAAGCATTTTTTTTACCCCCACTGACAGGCTATATTACAGTTTGGGATGTCATACATGCAATACCCTGACAATCCCATCTCAGCTGAAGTGGATAGGTAAGGGGGTTTTTGCCTATGGGAGGAAGTTCTCCTCTCTTTGATCTTGGTAGAAGCAAAACAACTTAAGCTGTGTTGTCTAGAAACCTACTCTTCCCATTTGTTAAAGGCAAATATTTATCTCAGGGCCTACCACACTGTACTGTAAGCAAAGCTAAAAAGAAATCTAATACAGTACAAGAGATGGGATTCAAGGGTAGTACATCATCACAGAAATATAATTTAGCCAGCAAATATAAAAAGAGAAATGACATTCAGAAAACACAATGGATCATAACCTACCAAATTTGATGCAATACAAACTATCATCTTTCTTGCTTAGAAAGCACTCAGAAGTGTAAAATGAACTAATATTTTCCACCAGAGTGTTTGAGGAGTATAAAATATCAGGTAGTCAGTGCTACAATGTCATGATTCACATGATTTCCATTAGATGGCAACAGGAACTTAAACTAAGCTAAAGTATCAAGTCATCACTTTTCTGTATTTGATTCTGCTATGTCTGCATATTATCCCATTAAGCTGTTTTAAGCTCTACTCACACGTAATTTGCTTTTGAGTATATACCCTCAGCTTAACTGCTGCGAAAAATAAAAAACTTTGTGGTGTCACTGCAAGACTGCATTGCTAACAGAACTCAACCGCTACCAACAGTCTTCAGAGCATCCCACAAAGTGTAACCATGTAAAAATAGCTCTGACAAGTCCAACACATTTAACCTTATTTAAAACACAAAAGCAGTTTTATAGGTCAATTCTAAAACCATAAAGATTATATTATGATTCTGACAAAGCAAAAAGCTTTTCGCTTCTTCAGAATCATTAAAAAAAGGAAAATAGGTGTACAAAGTCCCCATTTACATCTTTAGGGAAAAAAAAGGAAGGCTGAAAAGTGCTACATGCAACACCTACTTACCCCTTTTTGAGGTCAAAGCAAATTGAATAGCATTTCCTCCAACTCCACAAAATGCATCCACTATAATGTTGCAGTCGAATGACTGACTGACACGCACTGCAATGTGTTCAGCTATTTTCTCAGGAGTAACAGAAAACCAGCCCTCTGCAGAGGAAAGTGTTTGCAGCTTATTTCAAGGTCACCTACATAAAAACTCCAATAATTCCCTTCTCTCTCTCTCCTTCCCCTCACCCCCCACCCCAAAAAAGCAAATAAACAAAAATACCTACACAGATGAAGACTAAACATTAATTATAACTATTTTTGCTTAGCACACTTGGCCAGGAAATTACAGGCTTTCAAGTTGCTGAGCACAACAGTCAATAGAGCAATTTGCTAAGTATACAACATCTGAAGTGAACAGATATGCCAGAAATTCAGCAAAACATTTGCTGAACTAAGTGCTAAAGATCATGGCTTATCAAGGACAAGTCCATTGAGGTAGCCCTGAAGAGATTTACATATCAGCCACAATTCCACTCCATAACAAACAGAACCAGAAATACATTCTCCCACACCTGACACCAGTGATATCTGGTCCACCAAATAATCTACATGTTTATACAGGGGTGTACTGAAAAAGAAAAGCTTAAAAACAAAAAGAACCTCCCCTCGCCACTTCCACCCCCCAACAAAGCAGCAATCCTAATTGCTCATTTACTTATGAATTAATGATTTGGAAACAATTTCCATGTAAGCATAGAAAAGAGTAAGCTTAAAAATGACTGCTGAAAGACTCTGCATGCTAATAGGACGAAATTAGGAGGCTCAGCAGCGTATTTCAAGTTTCTACAAAACAATCATAAAATATATGCATATTTTATGCCAGCAAATTTCTGAGAGTCCCGACAAGCCTAATTTGGGAGCTCCACGACCTATAGCAAACATCAGGACTAACACAAACAGCAGTGTCCCATTCTGAAAGAGCAACTTAAACCTGAGTGTTTTGCTCATCTACTCACTGGGTCATGGTATTTACTCAGAGGTGCAAACAGGCATTTGTAAATGCTCCTTTTATTAAAAAAAAAAAAAAAAAAAAAAAAAAAAAAAGGAACAAATTTTAAGAAAGGTCCCAGGTTTGGATACATCTTATACTACCACTCTGCACACTTAATACTAGACACACCTCTATCTAATTTAATTCCCTCATCAAACCGTGAGAACAGCCTGTAACGTTGTGCCCAGTACTTGGCCAACTCGGGATCAGCAGCAAGCTGAGCAGGAATCTCTCCCTCTGTGATTCTTTTCCTTCTCCTCCTTTTTTTCTGCTGCTTCTCTGCAGTCTTTGTTTCACCTACAACTGGAAACACTGCAAAAGTTAACACGTACTGGTCTCATAGGCTAGGAACGTAATTAGTAGGTAGAAAGGTGGTAAGATGTAAAATGCTGAAGTTTAATCAAGGAATTCTAGCAGTGGTGTTTTTGTTTACCAGATTATGCAGGTCAGTGGCTTAAGGAGAATAAAAAAAGTCCCTAAATAACAAGGGGAAAAGGTCATCTGTCTTATCTGTCACAGTCCTGTACATCACAAGACATTACCCCTTATTTAACAGTCTCTACACATTAGATACCTTCTTCAACTGATAGCAGCAAATGCTGCACTGAATAAAATGGATCACAGACCAATTTAAAGTCCATATGTATACAAAACAACAAATCTGGACAAGAGTTTTACACTAGAAATTCATGGAATTGAACTAGTGTGGGAAGACAAAACTATATGTAGAAAACTGAAAAAAATACTCTGTTTTCAGATTACAGTGTTAAACAGAAATGTTCATGCTGTAGAGGACTTTTTCTCCTAGAAAGCAATAGCAGCACCATATCCTCCCTAAAGACTGGAATTGAACAAAACCCAAAAGTCCATGCATTTACCTGAAATTAATTACCCTTAAAAGAGAAGAACAGGACATAAAAAAAAAGACTAAATATTTGTGCATAGGACCAACAACGGCTGTTTATCTACAAAGAATTGCTTTTAAATAAAAGACCTGGGATGTTTGGTGCTTCACGAATAAGTCAGTTCCACCGCTACAGTTCTAAGACAGCCTCACTACACAGAACTTGGACTAAAGAACAGTCTCTTTGAATAAATAGAATAAAAAAAGGCAAAGTAAAGCTTCTTTCCCAAATTACTACATGCATTCCATCACCAATGCATTTCCAGTCTGCAAGAAATAGACGTACCTTGGCTTACATCTTCTGTTTCCACCCGAAGATAATCTGGAATATCCAGAGAGACCAACTGCCTTCCAGAATCACAAGTCTCCCTTTCCACATCCTGGGAATCAGTGCCATTGGCCGGGATTTCTTTTGTTTCCTCTTTGAGGTTATTCATTCCAAGTTCACAAGTAACCACAGTGGAAGACTGCGGTTGGTGTTCTTCAGCATTCAATTTCACGTTCTGTGCAGTAACACTTTCCTGATCCTCTGAGCTGCTGTCTGTAGAAGATTTGTCTACTTTATCCTGAGGGATGGCCTTCTGGGATGCAACTTCCTCCAGAGGTTTAACAACTTGCTTTAGGAACAGCTCTACCTGGAATTGTCAAATCAAAATTAGACTGTGCTGTTAACCAGGTCCAAAAATATAGGTTATATCCATGGCAGGATGCTTTTGACCTACCACATGTGTTTTGAAAAGAGTAAAATACTCACAGACAAAATATTCAGAAGCACATATGAGTTCTTAACTGCTCCCTATGTTCAATATTTTCAAAGAACTCGTCTATAGAAACTAGACACCAGCTATATGCAAAAGAAACTCCATGAAATCAACCAATAAATGCAGCAAATCATTCAAATTAATATATGAAATAAATATAATTAAATTTGCCAACACAATTGACCAAGATTATTACCTTTTAATTATCTTTTCTCCAATCTGCATTCAAAAATGACATACTCTGCCTTACAGCTTCAGATAAACAGGGAAAATTAACTTCATACATTACAGTTTCCTCATCTCCAAAATGCACCAAACAATTTATGTATTAAAACATTTCACTGCACAGTAGAAAATTCACCATTAGAAGTTCATCGATGAGATGTTGGTTCAAACTCTTCAAAAATGCATGCGGACACTCACTTTAAACATTACTATCACTCTGTGTGACACGAGGCCTATGGCATCAGGATGATTTCCTTACCAGAAGGTATGAGGAAACTTTTTTCCTCCAAATAAGTATTAAAGTTTTCCAAGAACTATATTGGTTTTGGATGCACGATGGCAATGGTCAAGCTTCTGATCAAAAATTGTATCAACAGGATTTCAATTCAGTAAAATTCCAGCCCTGGGGCTGGGGTGCCAGCCCTAAAAAACAGTATTTTGTAATCATGTATTAGTGAACGTCAGGCACCCCAGGAAAATGCGAGGTAATGCTTAAATACCAATGTAACAGATTTTAAAGATTCTTCCGCTTGTGTTACTAACCTCTTAAGAAAAAATAAAAGAATAGAGGTGAAAAATAGATATAGGTACTAACAAAGAAGTTGATGCCGCTATACGGTGTTACAGAGTAGAAAGAATCAGGACTAAATAAGAATTGCTGCAAGCCTACAGGATGAAAAGCCCTTCCTGATCTTACGTCAAATCACTTATTTGAGTAATTGACACGTGAACAAGTCGTGTACTGCTCCTCTTCCATAAAAGGAACCCTGGAAAAAACAGTAATATGGAATTGCACTAATTCATATTTGTACATATGTTTTTCTGTTTTCCTCTCACTGCTGAAATGCCAGCACTAACAAGTTCCCTCAGATGTCATTTTAAACCAAAGACGATTTTACTGACTACAGAAACCTCTAAAAGAATGATAACCCAGATACTAGGAATGACTTTCACATAGCTTCAACACTGAGCTCACACTCTTCTTGATATATTGCCGAGTGTCCTGTAATGTCTTCCCACATACACCCTATCCTAACTACTCTGCGCTAAGGAAAAATCCCAAGGATGCAAAAGCATAAAGAGCACTAAACTGACATTTAAAAATGTCAACTGCTCTGTACAATTATTTTTTTTAATTTTCGTAATTCAGCACAGCTAATGGAAACGTTAAATCACTGGATTACATAAAGAGTAACAATTAAACCTACCTTTTTCAAAGTTTTACTTTTTTGACAAGATGTTTTTTCAGGTTCTTCTGGAAAGAAGATGTGGGTGTTTTTGCTTTTTCTTGGTTTACGCATGTCCAAAAATCTGGACTTGAGTTTTACATTTTTCTCCAGGTACTCCACGCTTCGGTGGGTGAAATCTGGAATTCCACCATACCTGAAATAAAAAGAAAGGACTGACTGTCACCTTAGCTGGCCAATTTCTAATCTGGAAGCTTTAACATGAATCTACATGCCTGGAAAATACGATTTAGACTACATTTTCTCTTTATAAGCAATTTATGCCCCCTAAAAATTCTTTGAAAATAAATACAACTTGCAATAGTTGCGGAGCAGACATGCCTTCATGAGCACTGTTATTTTTATTTATTATTATTGAAATCTATACATATACTAAGTAATTTATATTGGCAATGTCTTGCAGGATCCCTAGAGCTCAGCTCCAGTTCTGGACTTTACAACGTTGCTTCTGCAGCACTGATCACCCTATCTGTACGTCATGCCATTGAAAATGGCATTTCAGTGGTCAGTACACTGGCAACATCATATTAACTTGGCAGTTGATCTCATTCTAACACAGCAAAGTTATGGTTTAAGTTCACAAGACTCCAAATGGAGATCATCAGCAGTCAAGGCCTTCAGCTGCTTCTGACTTAAGGTAGTGGGGTAAATAATACTGGAATGGTGGGTCTGCTATTTAAGAGATACTTTCTAGACCAATTTAATTCATAAAACAGTACTTCTGCTTCAAAGCACTCTTACTCTTCTTTAATTTACCTCCATAACTTTAGCTCTTGCCCTTTCTCTCCTTCCTCCTCTTCCTCCCCACTTCCCTCCTTAAAGGCTTACAGTTTATTAAGAGCAAAGGTTAATTTTGAGAAAAAATGCTTTGATGTGAAGATATGCTCAATTTCTATTAACAATTACTTTTGTCCTGTGCCACACTTGAAGCCCAAAATAGAACAGGTTTCCTCAGGATCTTCCATCGGATTCTCATCCACATCCAGCTCATGACTAGAAAAAACATGCAGATGAAGAAAAGTTTTTTTAAAAAAAATCACTTAGTTTAAATATATGCCACTACAAAACTTATCTATACAGAACATTTACATGCTCACTTCAGTGAGATCTACCACTCCTGAAACCACACAGGCAGGTAACACCACGCAGACAAACATTATCTTTTTACCCCCACTCTAAGAATGTACATTCATCTTCAGGTGTTATAATATTCCAGGCAGTCTGAATTACTTCTCACAGCATTTAACACTAAGTCCGACTCAGAATTGGAGAAGGTAAATTTACCCTATTTCCAGATTACCTTCATCAACTATTATCCCCCGTTAACTATAATATTATCTACCTAATATCTTAAATCTAGTATTATTAATCCTATGCTGACAGCTTCTTTGCAAAATATTGTAAGACAATAAAGTGACACCATTATAAGTTAATTACTCCATGCCTGCCTACAGCTTTGAGATTGTAAATAAGGGAGAAAAGAATAAGAGTCATTCCTACATCCTTTGATATTATAACTGTATTAAAAAAGAGCAATGACTGAGGCAAGGCAGAAATTACCTATGATTTCCAGAGCACTGGAACACGACAACACGTAATTCAGTTGAATGATACACATTTTTTTTAATATTGTTCTCATATTTTCTATACTAAATAAAGAAATTATTTCATCCAATTTATAATCTTATCTCCTTTTCAGGGGTACAACAGCTGCAATGTTACATTGCACAGAACTCAGTATCAAGGCCATACATTCTTTTTTAATGCAAAGGAAGAAGAGAAATAACAACTGCTTGCTGTCAGGTAAAGTGATACACAGTGATAGAGGGTCAGATGGTTTTGCACTGAAGTGATACTTGACAAGCCCAGTAGAAGGAACCGTGTCTATTAAATCATAAGGCTCTGGGCCTTCCTGCATTTGAGAAAATAAAACATGACTTGCCCTCTCTTGAGCTTGGTATGTCTGTTTTCAGGAGGCTCTTCCTCTTCATCTTCATTCTTGTCACCAAGCGGCAATTGCTCTTTGTCCTTCAAGTTTGATTGATATGAACCCTGTGAACCTGAAAAGGTAGATAAGATCAATCTCTTCGCTAATACATTCCTTATCTTCCAGCCCTAAAAGCATATTTGGACATCTTTCAAACAGTTATATTGTCTAACTTCCTAAATCTGATAAATACGATATCAGTGCCAAACCACACAAATCTTTATTTTGCTCAGGGAGCCAGCACAATACAAGCTCCCACGAGCTTGGGGGGGTCTTAGCAGTCCTAAAACGACCCAGCTTTCTAATACCTCAGCTCTCCAAGAAGGATCGAGTATCTGCAAAGTACAAATTACAAATAGCTTCTTTGTGTTTCTTAAATTTTGTTTCCAGTTGAACAGCTCTTGAAGATTTTCACATACTTCTAATAGAGGAGGATTCCAATGTCTTACCTCATTTCTTGTTGGAAAGGAGATTTTCCTTCCATCTCTCCCACTCTAACTCTACTGTAAGATCAATGTGGGAGCACGACTGCTCTTCCCTTCCATGGACAGTCACTAGCAATTCACTCAAAGGTCTCTCCATCAAACTGACATCAAGATGCTGACATACTCCATTATTTCCCTTCAGCAGAAGAAACCACGCAACAGTCAGGAAAGATGTTACTCTACTGCTTGCAGGGAACACTGACTGCTTCAACTGGCAGATAGACTGCAGCACTCGCATTCGTTAGCACTAGCTGCACACTGATGAAGTTTGGCTTATTAAGGCGACTGCAATTGGCTGGCTAATTAATGACTTAATGTTGGAACAGTCCTCTGGAAGTCATCTGATCCACAGGATATTATGCAACAAAAGAGTTTATTTACAAGTATGGTATTTTTCAAACAAAAGGTAAAAAGAAACAGAACTACTTTTTTTTTTTTTGTAGATTTACAGATTTTTTTTTTCCTCCTCAAAAAGTTGACCCTAAATAGGTCAGATTCACTAGAACATTAACCTGAACTTTCTCTCTGGTCATCTGAAATAAATGAGTAAAACAACAGATCAGTAAAGATGCAACTGTAATGTCAATACTAAGGGGGGGAGGGGGTGGGAAGAAGGCAATGCCACTATTCTCCCACTACATTTTGATGATTTATGATAAAGATGTTTCATTAAGATCACTTCTGGATGAAGAATACATTCACTATACAGGTTTGACAGGAGAGATCTTTCACAGAATCAGAGGGAAGAAAAAGCAATTAAATATTTGATCAATCAACAAAAATGCTCAATCCATATTTTTAAATGACATAGTAAAGCACCATTTTGTTTTTAAACACATTCTTTTAGAGAAATACCAAGAGAAACGATTTTAACTGATTCTGTATTACCTGATTGGTTAATAATTGTATTGTCATTGGAGGCCCTCCTTTTCCTGGTTCCTCCATCGCATGGCTCCTTTTGGCTTGAAACAGAAGAACCCTGGTTTTCACTGTCAGATGAACAATGCTTTTGAGGATCATCACAGCAAACTGCTGGAGCTGCCCTGCTCTGCTCCACTTCCTCCGAGTTCAGATTTATGTTAGAGATCCCAGAGATAATTTCGCTGTGGGGCTCAGCACTTGAAGCAGGTGCTTCCTCACTTCTGATGTTAGGCGGAGACAGCTCCAGGTTCAACACTTTACACTCAGCATCTGGGCTAACAAAGTCCATTTTTCCCGAAGGATCAGTGTCCTGGGTTACACCATTAACCTCCACACCGTTGTTGCATGAGCTCTCTGTAGTCCATCCTTGACTTGTCCAGTACTGAAATTGCCCCCAATAATACCAGTACAGTTCCCTGTAATGCTGCTCCCACTCTTCCTGGGTATCAGGACTGTTCCAAGGCTCAGAGTTTGCTGTGGCCTCAGACAACTCTTCATGCTTCTCCAGCCAGCTCTGCCAAAGAAGGCCCTCTCCATACTCACTCCAGTATTTCTCCCATTTTTCTTTAAGCTCACCCTGGAAGGCATCATGAATAAGAATTTCTGGACTTTCACAGTTCCCTTCATTTATAACCTGAATTTTATTCCCCTCTTCACTTTGCTCTGAAGCTAGGGCTGGCTCATCAGAAATGGATTGGTTACTGTGCTTTTGCTGCAACTCTTTTTTCTTTTTCTTCTTCTTTTTCATGATCTTCACGTTATTTCTCTTTTTACAATTGTCTATTGCCTAAAATATAACAAAAAGAACATATTCAGAAGCCTGTAACATGTATGCAGTCTTCCCTTGTCCCTCTAAGTACATTTCTGCCTCTGCTGTAACCCTCCCTCTTGCCATAACCCCACTGTAACCTTTCTGCCTTCAAAAGATTCAGCTATCAGTGTTACAAGGATCCTAAACCCAACTTTGATATGGCCCAGCTGCATAACGTTGACACACTTCTGAAAATGCTGTGAGAACGTGAGTAGAAAGACAAGACATTACAGGTAGAATCACAGACTCTGTTGAGATAGAAGACATTAGCAGCTATCCTTGTATCAATCCTTAGTTTTGTTGCACCAACAAAGACACAAAGTGGACTATAAAGAAACTGGTTTCAGAGAACTGATACTAGCCTTTCATTCACATTCCTCATTGTCATGTTAATGCAGACTGCAAAAGCACAGTGCTTAACAGTAGCCTAATAAAAAAGTATTATTTTGTCATTCAAGTTCTTTGAAGTATATTACTATGTACGCAGCAACACAAATTACATACTTTGGGTTTAAATTCAGATACCTAGAACACCTATTTATGTGCCACTGTTTTAAATAAAATCCAAGTTTGTCCTATTCTTTTACTAACTTCATCAGGTGACAATCCCAGAGCACTCTGCCCCAAAGTACCTTTTCACCTCTAGGGAGCTCTACACCGTAAAGTGGACAACATGGATACCCCAATACTTCCTTTCATACAAGCAGAATCTAGTCTTCCTCTACAGCTCGACTGCTCTCTACAAAAGGCAAAGCACCCAAGTCTCATTCCAAGCTTTGAAAAAAAGTTCCATTCAATACTCTGAAAAGCCTGGCTCTCTCCATCAGTGATAGGGGGGGAAAAAAATAAAAAATAAAAACCAAACAAAAAATACCCAGCTTTATATTTTTATCCAAAGATAGATGCCGAAAGCAGAGATTGTTAACGCCCACACTTACTTTCGTGAGTACCAGTTGTCCCAAGATAAATGTTACTATCAGCATTTTTTAAGCTAGTTCTTTTTAGCAGCAAGAGCTACAGAGGCAGAAACATAAAGCACAGTCAACATTTAGTTAAACTGATAGATAATTTTTACAACCTGGAGACCGCAGTGCTGCTATGGCTATGTTGCTAGAAGTGCTCAAGCCAGGCAACTTAAAAGCCAGCTCAGCTGCCTTCCCACAACTGCTGTCTCAACAGCAACTGAAGGGCAGATGTACCCTTGGCTTTTGCAGCTTCAAAGCAGAAGTCTTACCACAAAATCTCTGCGAGTTGACTGCCCACCAAACTGAAGAGGCAACCCCAGACTCTTCATAAGCTCAGCCTCCGAGTCTAGTTCAGCTTCTTCTTCCAATGCATGATTCGTGCTCGCCTTTAATGTTGTATTGGGATGATCGTTTTCTTCCTCGGATGCTCCTATGAACAATTACATGAAATATAAACACAATCTGACTTTGGTACTCTAACAGAGCAGTCTGGCTACAAAAATCATCAGAAATGCCCCTTAACCTCCTTTTCCTACTTGCAACTTTCCTATTTAAGTTTCTAACAGATATTTGAAACCTATTAATACATATAGTATCTTTCATCCCTTGATTTAGCTCATCAAAGCAGCAGTATTAATACAAATGCATTTTTTTAATATATTAGTTTTGGACCCAAACATTAGTGCAGATTTGATATCGCTTGATAATAAAAACTTAAGGTTTTTTTGGGGTCAACATATATATACTGCCAAATTATCAGAGACCACAAAGCTCCTTTTTAAATGATTACTTTCACAAGAATTCAGTCATATATCTACAAAAATGTGGTTCAGATTCTGCTTTTTCTCTCCACTCACATTTTCTCCATCTAAGCAGCACTATTCTCTCAGCCTTAATAGAGAGTCCTTTCTGGGGAGACTTCCTTCTTTGAAATAAAACAACTACACGATGGTGGAGCTGGCAAGATAGTAATAGAAAAACAGATAATGAAGAAATTATGTTCAGACAGGCAGATGTGAGAATGCTGCAGATAGAGCAAGGGAATGGGGCTGAATTTGCCACAGCATTACCCTTCCAGAAATACAAGGATGCTGAGCAAGAAACCAACTCCAATGGTCCTCATTGCACACTCCCCTGTGTGCATGGGAACCTCAGCTTCCCCATCGGGACCGCTGCTTCTCCTCCACGTTTGGGAGCAACTCTGCTGCTGAGCAGATTAATCAGTAAGAACTAACATCCTAAACAGGGCAGAAGCAACAGGACGGTAGTGCCCCTAGGCCACCCAGGATCCACAGACCCTCACTTACATAAGTTTTTCTTGAGTTAGGGGAGTAGAAGCGATTACTTGAGAGCAGGTCAGGCACTTGTGAGCCAGCCTGCTTTCTACAGGTGGGAGGCTTTCAGAGCTAGGGTGTCTGTGGAGAGGAATAAGCATCACACTCACCTCTCCACATCAAGATTTTAGTAACCTGGGAATCACAGTTTAGAACTTATATAATTTTCACCTGTCCCCATAATCAAAGCTGTGGAAACAAGCCAAAAATATGTGTTGGCAGTCACCCAGTCCTGCTGCACCTTAAATAACCAAACACAACTATTTTTAAGCATCACTGCACATGTTATCACAGTGCATTTCAGCACCTTACCTGTACTATAATTGTCATCTTTGACATAGAACCCCTTTAATCCCAGTTTATATAATCTTCGATCTCTGAAAAAAAAGGAAAAAAAAATCACTGAAGCAGATAATCATCAAAACAAAAGCAGAGGAAAAAAAATGGGATTTTAAGGACTGAAGAACTATGTAAAAGGCCAATATAAGAGATGCCCGGAAAATGCTGTTGCTACCTGGGGTACTTGGGAATCAGTCCAGACCCAAGAAGGATTCCACCTGTCACTTTTAACATCCTCAGTCCAAACCTGCCCCCAACTGTGAAAAGGCATGCTGGGTTCCTGCGCTTTCGCCAGACATCACACACTTATAACTGAGCCCCCGTTGGGCCAGATCTATCACCCTGTAGTTGGGAAATTTCTCCTTTATGGCACAGGGTGCCTCAAACTCTTTTTTTCTGCAGCTCGTTCACTGTCCAGAGCTGCTCGCAGCTTGTGGCCACTTCCAGGGCACAGAAAACCCATCCCAATACACTAAAACCATGTAGACGCAGAGCTGAAACGCCAGCTTGCACACGGCAGCGGCAAAGGTGCTGCTTTAGCGCATGACAACGGGGAGGAAACTGCTTTTCCTGGACGAGGGCAGAAAGGCCCAGGCGCGCAGATCTGTTCCGGGCGCACACGGGCCCCGCGCCTGCTCCAGGCCGCGCTCACCGAGTCCGCCGCAGCTTTGGCGTTTTTTAATTTCACGTATTTTTATTCTGCCAGCGGCTACTGTTTCAGCGCGCGGAACACACGGGCTTGCAGCGCCCCCCGTGCTAAGCTCGCCCCCTCGCGCCCCGCGCGGCCC